ACATCTGGTGAAAATTTCATGTCATTAGCACCTCTAGTAATATATTTACTGAGAAAAATGGTGACGTGTTCAATACTTATTTTACCCGCTGTAAATCACAGACCAATGGTTGAAACTGATAATAATTTGTAATTTATGCTCTTGGCCGCTGATAAGTACAGTATATCCAGTAGTGATAGGTTTGGACTGCAGGCAGCTCTTATACAGAGCCATGGTGCTGATTGATATACATGTAGGGGTTTTGGCATTGTCTTGCTGAAATATGCAAGTTCTTTCCTAAAAATACACACACTTCTGTTAGCTTTTACACTTTGCTGACAAGAAGCCAGATTATCCCTTAACTTAGAGCAAAGATGGTGACAGTGTACACTTAATGCAAACTTGAGTGTATACAGTACTTACCATCGTAAAACTGTCTCTTCTTTCATGTTGTCTCGTCAGGGAAGGTAACAATCCAGACCATCATATGACCATAACCTATGGTCAGCTGCTGAACCAGGTCTGCCGCTGTGCTAATGTGCTCAAGAAAATGGGTGAGAACCACAAAAAGCATTATATGGTTTAATAAATTATTATTATTTAGTTTGGATTTATACACACTTGTGAATATTTGTTTAACACTTTCAGTGTAATTTCAAAGAATCTTTCTATCTTTGCAGCTAATAGCTGTGCTAACATTAGCTACTTATCTATGCTGTGCAGCTAATATTGTTGCGTAGGCTACAAAAGCTAAATAGTTAAACTACGTATTTGAGATGCTATTTAGCAAAACTATGCAGCTACTGCAGTTGTGCTAGCTACAAGTGCTAATTAAACTAGCTGATATGCTATCAATCAAACCTATGTAGCTAATGTAGTTGAGCTAGCTACATTAGCTATTTATCTATCTATATATGCCATGCAGCTAACGGTTGTGCTAGCCAGACTAGCTAGTCATTTTCCCAGAGGGCCACACGAGCATTAAGATGACCCTCAAAGTGTCAGATGGAATTAACTTCAACTAAACAGGAAATGTCATGTTCCTTGTCTGTTACGGCTGGGCACTGCAAACAATTACTGAGCTCTATGTGGTATTTCCTGCATAGAAACAGCACTGAAAAGTACTACGTGTATGATGGACTATATGCTAAATAAATAAATAAATAAATAAATAAATAAATAAATACTAAAAGTAAGAGTTTTACTCACCTTTGAATTGTGGTGAGTAGCTGCCATCTTAAATTCTGAATTTGGACGTTCCGATTTACAACTTGTAAGTGGGAAGTTCCCACTTTCCAGTACAACTGAGCTGCAGCAAAAGTAGCTGGCAAAAAATGCAGATGAATGGAAATTTTATGTAGCAAATATAGCTAGCTGCTGGGTACTTCTGAACTCTGTGCACCTCCAGCTAGTGGTGGGATGCCGTCATTTTGCTGGTAAAATAATCGACATGGATTTTGGGAGATGTAACTTATGGTAAATAGAGACTTTAAAGTAGCATACACTTTTTTTGAAGACATACAACTTTGAAGCTCTCGCAGGCCACATAAAGTGCCGTGGTGGGCCACATTTAGATAGATAGCTATCTAAACTATGTTAGCTTTCTAGCCAATTTACCAGCTGTCTAGAAGTAGAAGTGCTAGCTGCATTAGCTAATTGGTTAAGCTGTTAGGTAGCTAACCAGCTAATTCACTATTGTAGCGAGCCGCTAGTAATTTAAAATTGCTAATGTTGCCTAAACTTTGTAAGTTTGTGTTTATTTATTTTCCTCTTTTTTGTTTTGTTTTTGTTATTTGAAAACTATTTTTGTTTAAATTTATTTTTTGTAGAAAAGGGGCATATAAGATCTTTTACTTCTTCTGCTACCTTTCATTTATGATTTGTATGTTTATTGTATATAGAATTTATGTTTTTTTATAAAAATGAATGAATAAACTAAACRAAGTCAACATGTTGAGATTGAGATTTAACTCAGCTGTATTTTGTTTCAAAAACTGAATCCTATAAATGTTGATAAACGTTTGTGTTTGATTTTAACATCAAGGAGTAAAAAAAGGAGACAGGGTGTCCATCTACCTGCCCATGATCCCGGAGCTCGTCTACACCATGTTGGCGTGTGCCAGAATAGGTGCTGTTCACTCGATRGTGGTAAGAACTATGATGAAGCACCTCTGGTGTGAGTTCAAAGTGACAAAAACATTCAACTTTTCTACATTTAATCAATATTGTGTTTTTTTTTCCATGTTTTCTAGCATTGTGTTGTAATGGCTCATGTCTCCCACAAACAGAAATGCTGTCCTCYTTTTTTGCAGACAGACATGTTGCTTTTGTTCGCAGCTCTGACCTCGTTTCCACAAGAAAACCTCAGCTGCTGCACTCCAGTAGCTATCAGCTGTATATATATTTTTTTTGGTGTGAATACTAAACTGACAGCACCTGCAGTCATTATTTGGGTCAGACGATTCTTGGCTGTTTCCAGCCCAGGACGACAGGCGGGCCGGCACTATTTTAGATGTTTAACCTTCCACATCCATGCAAAGGTTAGACGCCGTGTTAAAAATATCTGCAGRGCTCAGAGTTAGAATCTCGATGACRATCAAAGGCCTGTTTTTGGCAGCCTGGAGTCAGAGCGACCTTGTTTGAGCTGAGTCATTCTTGTGTATTTCCCAGGCTTATGTTACACTAAACATGAACAACACTTGCCAACCCAATGAAGTCACACATTGCTARATTTATTCATTAAGATGTGTTTTAGGTTAAATTAGTCAGAGATAAAGAGAGGCTCGACTCAAACAACGCAGTGACATTTTGCTGAGTCCAGCGTCCTTGTTGACCTGATTCATATCACTGCCATCATCACTGAAAGTTTATACTCTGTGAACTATTAAACCTTGGCCCGAGAACAAGTGTCTGGAAAAGGACGCAGCAAATGGCAGTTACATAAAAGAGCAATCAATGGACGGTTCATTAAGATTTAACATCTATAAACGGTGATAAGTGCGTCTGATGCCCTCATGAGCACTGATGCARACTTTAACATTTTTCCAGGCTTTAGCAGCACTTCAGAGAGGCTCATTTAAAAAACAGTTTTTAATTTTGATTTACTTTCATAAAAATCCATTTTTATAGTTTCAGTCATCATTTATGATTAAAAAATATATTGTTTTGTGCATGAAACCCTTAAAAAAAGCTGGTTTTAGCAAGTGTAATACCACTGATGGCCACKAGAGGGGAGCAACAAAGATTTTAAGTCTTTTTAGTAAAACAATTATTTAACATATTTTTAAATGTATTTTTTTCAAGAAATACATAAAATACAGTTATTACATTTTTCATTTAGGTTCTCTGATTCCCTCAAAATCTGCCTCTACGAACTTGCTTTGTTTTGTCTTGTGCTACTACTGTATTTTAGCTACTATCTGCCAATTTTAGCTAGTTCTGCTACCTTTACCTTTTAGCTTTGTTTAGCTACCTTTAGCTCTTAGCTAGTGTTAAGCTTCTTTTACTTTTTAGCTTTGTTTAGCTACATTTAGCTCTTAGCTAGTGTTCAGCTTCTTTTACCTTTTAGCTTTGTTTAGCTACCTTTAGCTCTTAGCTWGTGTTCAGCTTCTTTTACCTTTTAGCTTTGTTTAGCTACCTTTAGCTMTTAGCTGGTGTTCACCTTTTAGCATTGTTAAGCTAACTTTAGCTCTTAGCTAGTGTTCAGCTTCTTTTAGCTTTGTTAAGCTACCTTTAGCTTTTAATTGGTGCACTGGTTCTTTTATTTTCTAGCTCTGTTTATCTAATGCTAGCTATTGGCAAGTGTTCTTGTTTCTTTAGCTCTTAGGTAGTGTTTAGCTTCTTTTGGCTTTTAGCTAGTATTCTGCCTGTTTTAGTAAGGGTCCTGTTACTCTTAGCTTTTGTTTTACTTCTTTTATTGTTCAGCTTGTGTTCTTCTTCTTGTAGCTTGTAGCTGCTCTTGTGGTTCCTGTAGCTTTTAGCTGGTGTTATGCTTCTTTTAGCTGATGTTCTCTGCCTGTCAACTCCAGCTCAGATMTAACATATGTGATTTTTGGCAAATAAAAACTTGAAACATTAAAGAAACTCTATATTTATAATCTCTGTTTGTTGTTTTCTCCTCAATCCTCTGTATCACAAATGACTAAAATAATAATAATAATCAAATTTAAAAGCTGCAGGCCGAACTGACCGTTTCGGTGCTTTTTAGCGATGAGAACATGAGGCTAAAGGCTCTGCAGGTGCTGACGTCAGAGAAGGTCAAGCTGAGCAGCATGTTTGTTTTCTTCACACGGAACAGTTTACTGCATCCTCTTCATCCTCCTCTTCATCCTCCTCTTCATCGGCTCGTAGCTTCTGGGTTTATGTCACAAATCACAAAAAGCACATTTTGTTTGTTTCAGTTTGCAGGTTTTTCCTCAGAGTCTCTGTGTGAGAGAATCCTGGACGCACAAAGCAGCGTTCTGGTGACAGCAGGTGACATTATCTGTTTGTTTCAGTGAAGCAGCTGCACTTTTTACCCCTCTTTTTCACTTTTTCACCTCTCCGACGCGCAGACGGAGTTCACCGAGGAGAGAAGCTGATCAACCTGAAGCAGATTTCAGACGAGGCGCTGCAGAAATGCAAGGAAAAGTGAGTCAACCGGTCGGTCACCACACACACACACACACACACACACACACACACACACACACACACACACACACACACAGCTGTTATCAGGCAGCGGCGCTGAAGAAACACACCGCTGGGCTTTCAGATTATCAGGTTGCCGAGCAACCCGAAGCACTTAGATTCATCAGGGATGCCCAAGCTGCTCGTCTCCCAGGGCGACGGGAGCCTGAGAGGGATGGAGCCCAAAGGCAAGGCATGCTGGGAGCGTTTATCTTCACAGAGGTGTTGGTTTTAAGACAAACAACTGAATAAACAAAGGTTCAGATAACGTGCAGATGAGATTAAAAAACACATTTAGGTTAAAATGTTTCAACGTTTGTTTTACAAACATGAAACATTTTTAAAAATCTGTTAACAACGTTACAGTTTCTAAAATCAAAATGACAGATTTAACTCAGAAAAGCTGTCAGGTTGTCAGGAAAGTGAAGTCTAATCGTTATATTTTCTTACAGAGGGTCATCTAGTGTCATTAAATGTTTGGTCGTAAAACACGAAGCACTGAGGACAAAAACTGCAACTTCTAGCAACAAATTACAGGTAAAAACATCACTTTGTTTATATTTAATTTATTAAACCAGTGCTTTAGTTAAACAACGCTATATTAGTTTAAATGTTGACCTAAACAATTTAACATTACCTGCCTTCAACCCAAGATATTATTAATTTGTAGCCTTTTTTTAAAAGTTTGATGATTTTTGATTTTAAAAAAAATGGCATTAATTCACATTCAGAAGCTTCAAATCACAATTTAAATTTGTATTTTACTTTTCCCCTTTTAACTTTAGTTACCTTTAGCTCTTAGCTAATGTTTGACTTCTTTTTCTTTTAGCGATGTCTTACCCACTTTAGCTTTTAGCTATTGTTCAGCTTCTTTTACTCTTAGCTATGTTCAGCTACCTTTAGCTCTTAGGTAGTGTTTGACTACTTTTAGCTAGAGTTTGACTTCCTTCATCTAGAGTTTGGCGTCTTTTATCTTTAGCTATGTTTAGTTTTCTTTAGCTCTTAGCTACTCTTTGACATCTTTCAGCTAGTGTTCTGCTCCTTTTAGCTAGTATTTCACTCCTTTTAACTTTTAGCTAGTGTTCTGCTCTTTTTAGCTAGTGCTTTGCTCCTTTTAGCTTTTATTCTGCTCCTTTTAGCTAGTGTTTTGCTCCTTTTAGCTTTTATTCTGCTCCTTTTAGCTTTTATTTTACTCATTTTAGCCAGTGTTCTGCTCCTTTTAGCTAATGTCTAGTTGTGGCTGAAGGAAGTTGGGGTGCGTAGGGCGCTGTTGATATAAAGCTAAAGGACACATTCTGTATATTTTGAGGATAAACCAGAATTTATGAGTGTTGCTGAGTCACTAAGTTCTGGATCTGGTCTCTGCTCGGTCCAGACCCCCTGGGACTCGGAGCGAGACGTTTTGTGGGACGAGGCGATGAGGATGGCTGCGGATGAGTGTGAGCCCGAGTGGATGGACGCCGAAGACCCGCTCTTCATCCTCTACACCAGCGGCTCCACCGGCAAACCCAAAGTACATCACAATATCGTCTACCTGRTGTATGGAAGGCCGTTAGTGCCAAAAACACGRGACCCGCCTRCTTTCCTCTGAGTTTCTATCATTCTCACGTCTCTCAGGGTGTCGTCCACACTGTTGCTGGCTACCTGCTCTACACCTCCCTGACCTTCAAGTACGTCTTTGATCATCACCARGATGACGTGTACTGGTGCACGGCGGACATCGGCTGGATCACCGGACACTCCTACATCACCTACGGCCCTCTGGCGAARGGAGCCACGAGCGTCCTRGTAAGTCAAACCGGCGCCYATTTCGTTAAAACGAGTTGACAGAACGGAGCGTTGTGTTGACGTGTGGCYGTGTGATTTCAGTTCGAGGGGATCCCTGTGCACCCCCACGTCGGACGGTTCTGGGAAGTCATCGAAAAGTACAGAGTGAGCAAGTTTTACACGGCTCCCACCGCCATCCGGCTGCTGATGAAGTACGGGAGCGAACCGCTGCAGAAGTAAGTCCTCGCAGGTTTGATGTTTTTGTTGTTTGAAGACAAAAGATTYTTTCTGAAGACATACCCGTTAGAAAACTACGATTATTTGCCGTTTTAGTCTTTATAGAGTCCTTTTTACGCAAATCTTACTTAAGACAAAAACCTATATTTTCACCTACACCTGCGCTGTAGCCTGACCTCGTGCCGACTCGTTTACCGAGGGTCACTCAGTTTGTTCCCTGATCAGGTACGACCTGTCCAGCCTGAGGGTTCTGGGTACCGTCGGCGAGCCCATCAACCCGGAGGCYTGGCAGTGGTTCTACGAGGAGGTGGGTCGGAGCCGGTGTCCGGTGGTTGATACTTTCTGGCAGACGGAGACGGTGAGAGACACTAAGACTTTGTCTTTTCTTTGAGTTGTTTTTGTRGTTATTGTTTAATTTTTTATGTTTTCCTGTAGGGAGGTCATGTTCTGACTCCACTTCCTGCTGCCACGCCTCTGAAACCAGGCTCTGCTGTGAGTATCACCTCCTTCAGGCTCAATGTTTWTCTTTATTTTAGCTTTCTGTTTTGGACTTACTCCTTTTGTTGAAGAAAATCATTCCAACAAATAAAGCTTGTTAGTTTTTTTTTTCAGACCTTTCCTTTCTTCGGGGTTGAGCCGACCATCTTGAACGAACATGGGGAGGAACTGGAAGGAGATGCTGAGGGTTACCTGGTAAWTTTATTCTATGTGATCCTTTAAAATCTGAAAAAAAAAAACTATTTTTGCTCACGTCTCTTTTTGTTTGTTTGTTGCAGGTTTTCAGGAAGCCCTGGCCGGGTTTGATGCGAACTCTTTATAAAGACCACAAGCGCTTCGAGAACACTTACTTCAAGAAGTTCCCAGGCTTTTATGTCACCGGTGATGGTGAGACGTCAAAAAAATAAATAAATAAAAAGCCCTGCCACTCAGTGTTTTGTTTCCAAGACGGTTTGTTTTTTGTGAAGAATGTCTTCTTGAAGTTATTGAGGTTGTTTTCTGGTCTTGCAGGCTGCCGGCGGGATAAAGATGGATATTACTGGATCACAGGGAGGATCGACGACATGCTGAATGTCTCAGGTATCGACTCAGTTTTAACCTTGAATAAAAGCGTCTGCTGTCAAGCTTTACGATTTTATCTGAACACGTTTTGTCCTCCAGGCCACCTCATGAGCACATCAGAGGTGGAGGCGGCACTGATGCTGCACCCAGCAGTGTCAGAGGCCGCCGTGGTGAGCCGACCCCACAAAGTGAAGGGAGAGTGTCTCTACTGCTTCGTCACACTCAAYGACTGCGAGGAGTTTGACAACAAGCTGGTGGAGGAGCTGAAGAAAGGAGGTTCGAGCTAACTCAAACAAAACAAGATGGAACAAGACAAGACAAGACTAAACAAGATGAGACAAGACAAGATGACAAAAACACACAAAACCAAACCAAACCAAACCAAACCCAACTCAACCCAACCCCACCAAACCCCACCAAGCCCAACTCAACCCAACCCCACCAAACCCAACCCCAACAAACCCAACTCAACCCAACCCCAACAAACCCCACCAAGCCCAACTCAACCCAACCCAACCAAATCCAACCCCAACAAACCCAACTCAACCCAACCCCAACAAACCCCACCAAGCCCAACTCAACCCAACCCAACCAAATCCAACCCCAACAAACCCAACTCAACCCAACCCC